CTTTCCCATCCCCAGGGCGTGGGGTGGCCCCCAGTGGGCACAGGTGCCAGGGGGGTGGAGGACAGCCCGGGCAGGCGGCGTGACCTGCGGCCCGGGTTTGGGGGCAGGCACCGCAGCACCCTGCCGTGCACCACCCTCGCCCGAGGCAGGCAGACATCAGCACAAGTCTCCCTGTGTTTGGGAGGGTACACCTCCACACCAGCCCCAACCACTGCAACGGGCTCCTGCTTTACCCACCCTCCCTGCAGCAAGGGACTCCAGGCACAGAAGAAGGGAAATGATTTATCCTTTTATCTCGGACTATTTTGTTTCCCACACCTGGATACATCCCTCCACGGCCAGTGTTGAAATCCCGGCTTGTGGATGAAGCAACAGCCAGTCCTGAAACCAAAGCAGTCCACGGGGCCTTGAGGTCTGGACTAGGCCCTTCAGGTTTTTAAAGTGGGAGAAAACTTCAGAGAAGAAAGGCACTCCACCACAGGCTGCCGTTAAATGAGCCTCAAACCTGCAAACAGCTGTATGGATGCTTCAGTCTCTGCAAACCGTTGCCCTGGCTCCTGCAAAACTGCTTCTGCAGCACACTACTTTGCAAGCGTGTGTTTACAAGATAAATAATCAATTCAGGGGCTGCTTTATTTTTATATTATCAGGGAGATAACACAATGCAGCAGGAAACAACATGGAGGAGGCCAGCAGGTTGATACCTGAAAGGAGCAGGATGGATCTGTGCTCTCACAGCCCGGCACCACAGGGGGACAGAGCCACCGTGGGAGCTGCTGGGCCCCGGCTGCGGGGCTGATGCCCAAGGGCACCCCAGGTGGCCCCGGATGCCCACACGCAGGCAGCTGAGCTGAACCTCAGCAGTAGCAGGGCTGTGCAGTGGTGCTGCTCTCATTCACCTTCCCCCTCCCCTTCGATACAGCTCTCAGAAGATGCACGCAATGACAACAGGTCATGTTTTTCCTCACTTTCCTCTTGTCTTCCCTCTTACTTTCTCCCTACATCCAGGCAAGAGTCCAGGTACCCTGTCTGGTACGTGCTTCTTTTTCAGCCCCAGTCCCTCCAGTGACTTGAAAACTCAGAACAAGGGCCCCAAGAGTAACACTGCCAGCTCTGCTCTACCAGAGCTAAGGTGTTCCTGAGGAAAGTCAACCCTTGGTACCGTGGGGACAAGGATGGGGAGGAACTGCTCCCTGCTTCCCATGGGCACAGAGTTCACGTGGGGAGTGGAGGCACAGCTCAGGCTCTGCACCCCACAGCAGACAGAGGACCGGCCATCTCCCCAGAGCAATGTCCTGCCCCGTTTAAAGATTCTCCCCTGGTGCCCCAGAAATGTTCTACCTGATGTCCACACTGCTCTATGCTGAAGGGTTACACAGACTTCACAGTAGTTAAGACCACGCTAATTAACATCAGTTAAAGTAGTGCCTGCAGAAAAGCAAGGTGGAAGAAGTGCTGTTTATTATTTGTGTTACTCTAGTGCCCAAGAATCCCCACGGTAACATCACAGCCACTTTTAACCTCAAAAACAGATTGCCTCTAAAATTTCTACTTCATTTCCCATCATGCCAGTGAGCCCTTTTCTTTTTGTAAACAAGATATCTCTTGTATCACTAAAAGCTTTTGGTTTCCAGAGGTTCATGCTATTGTCATCTGCTCCCATTGTCATGCACCACCACTTGTCTTTGGCCTCGCACACAGTGCCAACACAGGCTATTTTTATACATTTCTTTACAAAAGAGCTATCAGAGTACATTCAGCATGCATGCCCTTGAAATGAGTACGTTCCAGGCAGATGATTGCTAGGTGCTGAGCTATGAAAGCAGTAGTATTAAACCACCACCATCCCCAAAACCTGAGGGGCTCCCCCTGTTTCTGGGGGGGAGAGCTCATGCAGCCTTGCCTGCTGCTGAGAGCACCCCCAAAGGGCAAACAGTGATGGTCATGAGCAGGGATGACAGTGCGTAAACCCAGGTAGGAATGCCGTAAAGGAACTCATTTCCAGGGAGCAATGGGCTGTCTCTCCATCAACACCTACTCTGGTGCAACAGGAGCATTTCAGGGCTCAGATTCCTCACATGTGGGGGCTCAGATTAGCTGTCCCCGTTCTGTGGGCCAAGTGATCCCTGGGATGTACGGGCCTCAAAGCTGTTCCAAGGAGCCTTTCCTTTCTCGGCTGGAGGTCCTACTTGGAAGCACGAGGCTGTACTTTCACCCATCCCATGCAGGTGGCCCATGCCACCATCCCTATAGTCTATCACTATCCCCTCTCACACAGCAACATCACTCAGTCCTACTCACATGGAATCCCAGGGACACCATAGTGCTGCCTGACCCACCTCCCTATTCCGAGCTCTGGTAACATTCAACAGCAGGTACTTTTGGGGGAGGGAGTAGGCAGCTTACTCCTGTGGCTGCGGCAGAGAGGACATCCTGAGAGCCACTGGAGCTCTCTTCTTTTCTAAGAAACAAAATGCAGAGTGTTCTCCTGGGCACCTTTGCTGACGTTGTGGAGTCAGCTAGAAGTTCTGGGCTTAAGATTGGCAGGACCACGTGAGACAAGGAGCAGCAGGCACAAAGTTTTTCCATGTGGAGAAGCACTGGTGAGAACCTTTGCTGTGAGCTGGCATGGCTTCACCACTCTACTATGAACTTTCAGGAACACGAGCCCATGTTCAAGACTGCAACTGTTCCTTACACTCCCCAATTCCTGCTGGTCAATGGCTAAACAGTTTGGAGTGGGCATGGACAAAAAGGTGACTGAGGGCCCAGGGGCCATCACCCGAAGCCTCTTTCTCCAAATAGTGAAAAACGAAATCAGCAACCTCAACCAGAGCTTTGTATTTTCTGGGTTCTTCAGCTGTACGGGCACTGCTGCTGGGAGCCACATTCCTACCCAACACTTGAGCCAGCATGGTCGTGACTATGTAAATCCCAGCAGCTATAACTCGATTCTTCTATAGACCTTGGTAGTAAATCCACTGAGGTAGATGCATGGACATGAAACGCTCATCATCTGTGTCTTCCATACCACCGCCCTCAGAATCATAGGGGTTGCTGGTACCTTCTTCCCATGCAAGGAGACTGTTTGCAGCAGTAGGATGCCCCCTGCACTGTGGGAGACACTACCCACACCCCTGAGTCATGAGGTACTACCCAGACAGTGATAAGCCCAGTTTAACCACGTCTTTTCACCACACACCCTGAATTACAGAACCCACTGCACCTTGCAAGGGCGGAGGGAGCCTGTCTGCCTGTGCTGGGATAGGAAAGATCACATTCTCTGGCAGTTGTATGCACAGCTCTTGGCATCCTCTGGACCAGTCGGGACACCCCAGCACAGGACACCAGCCGTCCTTTTGATCCCAAGGGCCACGAACATGCCAAGTCCAGGACTGCACTGAGAAGGACAAGGGAGTGAACATCAAGACTGTTTCCCCTATCTGATACATACAACGGGAAGATTATAAAAGAATGAATTGTTTGTACGTCCTTGTGGCAGCTACTTACCTGCCCCCCCCCCTCAAAATGGAGCTGGAGGTGTCTGCTCATCCCTCGCCCCCCTCAGGCATGCACACTTCACCTGCTCCCTCCCGGGGTCCTCAGCCTGCAGCCCCTTTGCACAGGCATGGCTCCTCCTCCCCAGCCCTTTCATTGACCCTTCCTGGCCACACACAGTATCGGCACTAATACTGAGGAAGCCTCGGATCTCGGTGTCACCGACACGCTAAAAAAGACGAAGCTGACAGCTCAGGAGAAGGCTTCCTTGCTTCTTCTCTAAGAGAAGACTGGGGATTCTGGCAGGGCCTTTGGCAAGGAACCAGCTGCAATGGTTCAAGGCAGTAAAACTTGGTAAGGAGGAGACAGCTCAGCCCCCACCTCCTAATTAGGCTTTGTGGAATGGAGACAAAGCACTACACTGAAGTGCAACGGCTTGTGCTAATCCATAAGCACTTCACTCTCTGCATGTTGTACAGGGACAGCCTGTCCACCAGCTCTGGAATAATGAAGTCTCTGTGCTAGATGAGGACTTGAAGACAGCTAACACGTAACACTGAACTTCTGCAAAACTGGCTTTTAAACTAGGGATTCCTGAATTCTGCTGGCTCAAGGTGTGTCCAATTATATGGGAAACCTATAGCTTTGCAGATTTCACAATAGTTCTCCACAATTCAAAGCACTGTGGAATGAACAAAATTCAACTCTGTCATGGTATGAAGAGAGAGGAAACACCTAGCCTGTAGCTGTCACGCTCGCTACAAAGTTTTGCTTGCTAGGCACAGCCTCAGAACTGGACCGCAGAGAACTGGTTACAGCTTATGGGTCTAGTGTGTAAAACCGCTTCTAGAGTGAGTCTAAGAGGAGAGGAACTTGCAACTTGACCATAAGGAAACATGCTTCCTCCGCCCAGAGGGGCGGAAAGGCTGAACTGCCGAAATCACTCCCTTCCCTCCCAAATCTTCTGCAAGTTCTGCATACACCTAAAACCATTCTCTTCTATCAAGATGGATGCATTTCAATTTAGACATTAGTTTCATGACTGAAGATGTCCCGACAGGCAGTTCAACAGCTTTTCTCAATTCACAGATCTCCCTCTTTTGTCAGGTCTACACAAAACCAGGGCGGTTGAACACACGGGAAGCAAACTTCAACAGCAGATACCGAGATCTGTAAACATCCGAGCTGTGCTTCTGCAAACCTGAGGTTACCAGGAAAACCACCACTGCACTGAAAGCAACTAACAAATAGCGTCTATAAACCCACAACGAGGTTTAACAAGGTTAAACCTTAGTTAATTTGTCCTGTTTTCAATCATTTAAAAAAAAAAAACCCAACATTCTCTTGCTATACAAACCCAGTTTCATTTTCAGTCATTTCTGGGAATCCTGACCAATGAAAGCATTCCCTCCTTCTCCTCCCAGCCCACACACAGCTTCCAAATATGCATTTAAGAGCATCTACTGTGAGCATAGTGACCTTAAAAACAGAGACTAAATAAACTGAAAACTGTTGCAATGCACAGTGCCTCTGGAAGCACAGCTCTTAAATGAGACCACTGCATGCTCTCTAGTCTTATTATTCCAAATTCAGAAGTTTAGAACTACCCACCACTTACACTTACTGTTAACCATTTCATCATGGTGCTACAGCTAATCCACTTGAATCTTGACCGGTAAGTACCAAACAAACATAGAACCAAAATAACTTACACAAGCATGCATGAGAAGAAAATTTAAAATACCGTCACCAAAGATCGTACCCAGTAAAACCTCCCACTTAACTCCTTCAGACGCAAAACCTAATGGAAAACGATGCTCATCTTGTGAGTCAAATACTGATTTTAAATTACTGTGGAAATCCCCAAGCCGAAGAAGCTAATAAAGGTCTAAGGCTTAGTATACAGATCTTGCTGCCCCAAGAAAACCCCACTCGATCATAAGCTGCAACAGTGAAAGTTAAGATAGATTCATCAGCCTTGCTTCAGAAGATGGTGATGCACTCCATGCCCAATACATGCGGTGTCAAAATACAGTACTAGTATCACGTATCAGTCTGTTGATGGGTAAGCTTTGTTCCATCTTCTTCAAGGCATTTCCAAAGTTACTCCAACTATACAGCCTACTCCACCTTCCGAGAGGGGAGCTTGGAGAAACTTCAAACGCAGTACCTGCTCACTGCAACTTTGAACCTCCAGTGCCTAAAGCCTGCCACCCTTAAATACCAGGCCAAGCCAGACAATGACTTCACCATCCAAAAACTACATTCCATGAGAATGGGAACACCCACAACCGAATGTTAGGTAAATGCAAACAGGCATTAATCCCTTAATTTATAAGCAATCTGTACAGTTTGACACTTCTGCTTAAGGCACTTCAGAACTAAGGGAAAAAGGAAACCTCATTACCTCTCCATTTCTTACTCCCAAACTTACTAGCTGTCCTACAATGGACTGTTCCAACAATTTTCAACAGTCAATACTTACAAATTGCTTGAAGTCACTACCTTCTCTAGTATTTTACTCTCTCTACATGTAGACATTAGTTTTACATCACTTACTTGAGGTAGCTAAGCAATGCCTTACAACACACTTAGAAAGGTAAAATATTATTTATCCATAGCTGTAACAGTTAAGCTTGAGTTTATGCCTGTTCAAAGCTAACTAAGCAGGTTACCTTCAGCAGTTTCTTTAGCAAGCTTCACACGGTTTCAAACAAAGCTCACAAAAATAGCATTCATTAGTAAGCAGTCGGCTGAAGATGTTCTTCCGTTCAAGAAACACTGGGCAGGTAGCACTGGGTTTTCATGAATCGTCAATAAAATCAGTGGGATGACAGGAATGCATTAGAACATCCAGGTAGATGTTTAGATTCAACAGACATGCAACAAACAAAATGCAAGGGTTCAGCTACGCCAGCCAATTTGAATGATAAAAATCAAATTACAAAGGCTGGCAGTTTTGAAATTAAAGCCTTGTTTCTAAACAACTATTTCATAAGAATGCTTATTGGCCTGAGGATGTCCTAAAAATCCTTCTTTTACAAGAAAATCCAAACACCAAAATCCACCCACAGCCATTTCTCAAGAGGTTGCTTCCAAAAACTCTTTCCACAATTTCTTTGGTATTAATCTGAGGCCTCTTAGACAAAAGTTTTTGTCAATGAAATCTGAAGCCCCTTATCCCTTTTCCCACAAAAAAAATTAAACCTCCAAGTGACATTGTACAATTCTTGGTATATGCCCTTAGTTTGTTGGTGAAATATTCCATGTCCTCTCATATTACCTCATCAGGTAACCAAAGAAGGATGATCATCAGTAAGTATTAGCAAATTTCAGTGTCCCCAGGATTTATGGTCTATGTAAAAGATCATCAATTTAAATGACCAAGCACCATGTAAGGCAACTTAAATAAACAAATTTCAGTAAAAGAAAAGTTTTCTAAAGCATCTGTTCCAAAAAACCTAAAGGAATCAGCTACAATCACATACACTTGTCCAAAACCAGATCTTCAGTTTATTTTTTTTAAACATGCATTATGCCATGAATTCATAGGGAATTGGCTCCAGCAGCTCTGGATCCTTGCCATTAGTTCTCACAAAGTGTGCTTCTCTTGGTGGAGCAGGCTGTAAACAGAAAAAGAAAAAAGAAAACTCATGGCACTAAAACTCAAAAGAAACCTTACACAAAATTCATTCTGACAACCATTTAACACATTATTATGTAAACATTACAGCACTTTTACCATTCCTAGTCTCTTTAAAATTTGATTCAAAGAATAGCAGTAAGAAAATGATCTGCTAGAAAGTGTGCTTGACTTTCATTGCTGAATGAAAAAACCTACACTTTACCCTCTGCAATTTACTAATCCAAATTATCATGAAGTGATGTACCCTGAGGTTCCGGAAGCAACAGCCATTATCTCCTCTCTGAAGTCTAGTTATTCATTATTTTCTTCAAGGGTTGCAACAGAAACTGTTGCAGCTAAATTCAACTAAACCAAAGACAAACACTGATCCTAGAAATCAGCCAGAGCTTCTGCTGGAGATCAGCAACAGAATAGAAAGCATCTGTCCCTCTGTTCACAGCCAAGGATACAATTTCCATCCAGGAACAGCGCAGTTCTGTTCAGGAACCAAACATATCAGGCAGCTCAGATGCAGACGCACTGCATGCTGCCACTCTACTCCAAAACCAGTAACCTCCCGCAAAGGATTGCAAACCCAAGTGAGGGTGGTAGCAACAGACATCTCCAACAAAACCTGCCAGAGACCTGGATTTTTCAGAATACTGCAGCAGCTTCATCATTAATGTGAGGTGGGTTTTTTTGTTTTTTGAAGACAGACAGAAAGAGCTCAGTTTACAGCATAACACACTGTCGTTTTGGAAGAAAACATTTTACTCAACTGGTTTGGTTCTAGCTGGGTTTTTTTTGGTGAACTGTATCAACAATGTGTCAACTACAATAAAAATATTACCTGACGTTTCAGTTGAACCCAAATGCCTTTTTCTTTTGCTTCCTTTTTCTTCTTTTCATTCTCCTTCACACGCTGCAGAAAGCTGTCTCTGCTCTTGGAATGTTTAATATGCTCAATACGCACATTAATTCTCTTGGCAAGAATCTTGCCCCTAAGAAAAGAAATCAGTTTTTTATCTACTGCACTTGAAAAAAGGCTACTTCAAAGCTAGTTTTACAGCCCTTACACGAGTAACTCCATAAGCTAAATAACAGATAATTTTTCTCTAAAGGGCAATCACTCAAAATACATTGCTGCAGATGCAAATCAGATATAACTTATATAACTGAAAGCTTATTAATATATAACAATATGTTGACAATTTAGGATTAAGACTATGGAGAACATGTAATTTTAACCTTGTAGCATACAAACAAAGAATTGTATTACCACTGTACTCCAGTCCATTTACTGGAAGAAAAACAACTTGTCCTTTTCTGACTAAACAGTACAAAACCCAGCTGAATACAGCTGGATACAGCTACAAATTAATATTTAAAAAGGGCTTCAGTATCAATGTGAAAGCTGGCTGAAAATCCCCATTAGGTAATGTCACTAAGTGCTGCTCAGAAAAATGAGAACTGTTTCCTCTGACAGGATCCAAGTCAAATGAGCATCATTTGCTTGGGTTATAAAAAGGATATATACTTTACCCACCTTGAATGACCAATCAAGACAATAACTGTCTAACTGGCAAAGTGAAAGGAGGGTGCAATTACAGATCAACTTTCCCAAATACAAAGTTTCAATACACGGAATTTCATTACTTACTTAACCTGCTTGTTAACAATAATGCCCACAGCATGCTGAGTAACATTATATACCCTTCCAGTCTTGCCATGGTAACACTTGTGGGGCATACCTTTTTGAACAGTACCCATACCCTGTTAAGAGATAAAACAAGAATAAAGTGTGAACTTCAGCTTGAAACAAAACAAAAAAAAAGCAGTATCAAGGACTTTTCTTTCAGAAGTTATTTAAAGTACACATTTCAAATTACTTGAGATTAATTCAAAATTACTCCTATTTTAGTCGTACTTTGGCATTTATAACCATGCATTTTATATCTAAAGACTACCAAATTCTGCTATGACAATTCTGGTTGCTTTCAGTGTCGGTGAAATAACTGATCACTTTGCTTTCAGCAAGCAATCACAGGAGACAATCATCATCAAGCTCCAGTGTGTCAAGAAGTGTTAATTCTGAACTGTGCAGTTCTCCAAGAGTCAAATAACAAACAAGCAAGTTACACACCATCTTCTGTGTGACTGTTCGAAAACTCTGCATTTCAAATGAAACTAAAGGATTCAACAAAGTAGGAATCCTTGGCGAAAGGCTTTCAGATTCACTACAACTTAATTTTGGAAGTACAGTTAATTTTAAAGGACAAGTTCTAGAAAATACCAAGTGATGGGAAATGCTGCTTCACTTTTTTCCCCCTCTATCAATAAGTATGATGTATCCTTACATTTATTTCTTGGTTTCTAGTTTTAATGTGGCTTTGCAATCACCATCCCTGTACGTACTTACTTTAAGTGTAGTCCTACAATGATACAGAGACACAGACATAACTACCAGCTACACCACCATAAACTACGGCTCTTCTGAACAGCAGGTGCAAATCAGGCAAAACAGAACATCTACTAAAGTGACAGCTGGGGTTCCTATGAAAGTAGTGCTGGTAGGCACCATACAGCAACCCAAGTATTAGATATGGCATCTTTCACTCACTTTTTTCAGCTGAATACACAATAAAGGAGCACAGCCAAATATATATAAAAAAATATATATACACACACATACATATAAAAAACCCCACATAAACCAGCATGTGACACTGAAGCATTACTATTAGTTCAGCAGCATTGTCATTGCATTATCGCTTCAAAAGTGAGCAGCGGGTACTTCTGTTGACATGAGCTGAGTAACTTAAAAAAGACTACCTCAAGAAACTGGAGACTGTAAAGATTACACTGCTTTAGCTTTTAATTACATAGCACTGTAGAAAGTACCTTGATATCAACTATATCACCCTTCTTGTAGATGCGCATATAGGTAGCCAGAGGGACAACTCCTGTTAAGAGACACAAATTTGGATACTTATGAAGCTCACAATTTCACACACAGACACACACACATATCAAACGGGGTGGGGGACACAGATCATGCATTTGATAAAGTTTTCTTAAAAATGCCTCAAATTTAAATTCAATTTCAAAAACGTAAAACTGAGAAATCAACCATCTTTTTTTTTCCAAGCAGTAATTACCTCTTCACACGCTCCCAATTTAAAAAAAAATCCAACTAAGGAAAAATTACAGCTTTAATCTCATTCCTAATGCAGAAGCTGAAAAGGCATTACAACTATTTACTACTTCATTGTGGAAACAGCTGTTATCACTGCTCATTGCTAAGAGGCAACAGACTGTACATTTTAAGTAAGTGTAACTGTTGAAATATTTTCTTCACTTCAAATTAAATTTTCAAGCATTGATAGAATTAGCATTGTTACTACTGTGAAGCAATCAGAATACCAATACATAAGCTGTAAGAGATGAGAGTTTACTTGTATATCATTCTACGGTTCTTAGCCCAACTTGTCAGATATCCTTTGACACAAGCCATTGTTTTACAAATGCTACTTAGGGACTGTTGACACCTAACAGGTCAGTAACTTAATGCGGTGTTCTTACTAGAAGGTATACTCACCATGCTTGCGAAATGGCCTTGAGAACATATAACGTGTCCCCCTCCTCTTTCCCTTTGTGTTTGTCATTTTGGCTGATTACTGTGAAAATGAATGCAAATTATTCAGAACTACTAGTTCATTCACTAAAAATCTGACCGATAGCATTTTCAGACATTTCAGAAAAATCAAGTCTTTAAGCCTTCAGAATGACCCCACTTCCAAAGTGCTGGGTCAATTCAAGCAATGTTTTTAGCTTAGACATTCACAGAAAACAGTATTTATAGGACCACAGGGTAACTCAGGTTTGAATGGATGCTAGCACGTCACCTAGGTCAACCTCCTGCTTCAAGCAAGGTCTACTATGAGATCAGACCAGGTTGCCCAGGGCTTTGTCCTTGAAACCCTTCAAGGATGGAGAGCCTACTGCACAAGCTCCCTGGGCAGCCTGTATGGACGCCTGGCTGTTCTCATGGTGAAAAACTTTTTCCTTATATCCAGCCTGAGCTTCTCATTTTGTCTTAAGCCAGTTGCCTCGTGCTCCTGCCACGTGCCCCTGCCAAGCACCAGGATCCATCTTCTTGATGACAGCGCTGTTAGGTGCCCCCCAAAGCCACCTCTGCTCCAGGTCGAATAAGCCCAGTTCCTTCAGCCACTCCTCACAAGGCATTCAAAAGGCAAGATCTCCACTACCAGATTTATCAGCCACTATTACATTTGACACGATATAAACCGTGGTCATCTGCTTGTGCTCTGAGTGTAACAATTTCTTTAGCTTCAAGCTGTGTCTCCTATTGCCACAGGAGCCCCGGCACTTCGTGCCGCGTACGAAGCGGCGCCGAGGTGCACACACCCCGCAGGCCAACGGGGACCAGGCACGTTAGCAAAGCCCAAGTTCCGCCGCACCCGGCGGTCCCCACTCCGGAGCCTAGCCCAGGGAGCTGCCCCAGCCGCCCGGCCTGCGCAGGGCCGTTCCCCAGCCCCCGACATCCCGCCGGCTGCCCCGGGGCTGACCGG